GAAAGAAAGAAAGAAAGAAAGAAACACATTTGAAATGAAAATGAAATAAATGTTTGTTATTGTTTGTATGAATCCTGTATGACTTTTGATTTGATGACTTATGCAAAATGTTTAAAAATATTCCTTATTTTCAATGTTTTGTCGGTTTGGATTGATTCACTGAATATGATAAGCTTATTTATTTATTGAATAATCCGCATTTGAAACAACAACAACGAAAATGACCATGAATTTAGTGCGGTAATAGATCAATGAAACAAAAGCCGCGTTAAATTTTTTTCCCATTGAAAATTGATTGGCCAACCTGATTGACTTGAGAGAGAGAAAAAAACAAAGGGTTAACAAGCTTCACATTTAATTATTATTTATCGAAATTAACATGAATAAATCATGACGATGATGCTAATGGTAATCAAAGGATTAACATTCGAAAACAACAAGATAATCTATAATCAAATGAATGAAGGAATGAAACAAACACCTAATTTGCGAAATAAAGAAAAGAAAATGGAAAAGATTTACATAAATCATCATCATCATTGATAAACATGATGATGATTATTCGAACGAAACGAAAAACATGTTCAACAGAAAATTTTGGATTTTTCTGACTATTTCTATTGGTTTTTGTGCGAAAAAAAACATTAATTGTTTTCCCGGAAAAAAAATGTGACTGAATGAATCAAATGAACAACAACAACAACTAAAAGCAACAACAACAACAAAAACAACAAAAACAACAACAACAACAATAATGATAATAATAATAATAATTTTTTTCCCAATGTCAATCCATGACCAACGGAGCGATACTGTCAAAATCGAAAAATATTGTTTCATCATCATCATCAACATCGTGATTATCATCAACATTCAATCAAACTGAATGAAATGAATGAATGAACGGATCAGTTGATTTTTGATTAGAAAATAAAAAATCATTCATTTTTTTAAAACATTCATTTGATTGATTGATTGGTATACAGTTGGTATTCTTTTTGGCGCTATATGGCAAAAAGATATTCCAACAAAAACACTACTGCTAATCATTGATGTTTGAATATGAAAATGATTTGTGTGAGCCATATTGAAACATTGCGTGATCAAAACATTTATTCATTTCATTCAATTCATATTCGATCTATCTACCTATGTGCGTTATGCTGATTTCTTTCCAATTTCATTTCATTGATTTATTTTTCTGATAAGAAAATACAATATTGTCAATTTCTCTGCAAACACACAGAAAAAAACATGATAAGCAAATAAGAAAAACTAGTAAAGATTGGATAATTTGTTCGTTATTCAAATCCAATCATCACCTTTATCTTATTGTAAAACAATAATTAACAGTGAATAAATAACATGAAATATCAAACATGACCATTTTCACTTTCAAAACAAAAAACTAATTTGCATATCTTTGTCTCGATTTTTTTTTTCTTTTAAAATGATTATATGTTTTATGAATTCGAAGAAACTCTATCATATTGTTTATTTCCCTGTTTGTTAAATGATGTTACACGATCATCGGATGTTCATCAACATCATTCAAAAAAAATTTGAAATTATTATTATCTTTGATGAAACATTATTCATCTCTCTCTCTCTCTCTCTCTCTCTCTCTCTCTCTCTCTCTCTCCACACCTAACAAAACATACACAAAATACATATGTGTCCCTCT